ACCACCTCCGTTTATAGCCTATGAAAAAAACTATTTGAAAACGAAGGCTAAAGCTAACGTTAGCAGATAGTGACAATGTATGCTAGTTAGCTAGCTCAACGATTCCTTAAATAATATTGCGACAGAAAAACTTTTCAGTGCACATCACGCTCTGCCGCTCCGACAGGGAGCTCTGCTCTGAACACCTGAACGGCCCGTTCTAACAGCTGTTCACCAGCGGTCCAGTCTACAAACCGTAGGTAATGTAGCTGCTGAAGCTAGACCCTCATCCCGGAGCAGCAGAGCCTTATTATACATCCATGAGCAGAGCCGACAGGCAGGAAGACTCGAGCACGCAGGAAGACTCGAGCACACAGCTCGCGCTTCATTATAATATATAAAAAAAGAACACCATGCGTGTCATGATGGCACATAACAGCTCGCGGCCACAGATTACTCCGGGTCCCAGACCCCCCCCATACCCCAAAAATATTTTTATTGCGGATCTACATGAATCACACAAACGACCTATTTTGGATTCAAAAGGGCGAATTTCGCCGAAAGGTGACAAGTTTGCATCCCTGAAATACAGACCTGGTTCAAGGTCCAGGATCATGTCTAGGGCCTGGCGGTAGTGGGGAACCTGCTCATTGAGCCCCGTCAGGTTGAATTTGTCCTGGATGTAGTCTTCATCCACCTTTAGATGGAGAAATCAGATAAGAAAACGGATTATCTCTGAGTGTGGCACATAACAGACAGGATATACATTTCTTGAATCATGCCAGAAAGTACATTTGGGTCTCTTATGGCGCGTTTCCACTACACGGCCTCGCTCGGCATGGCTGGGCCTCGTTAGGACTGGCTCACTTTATGGCGCATTTCCATTACAGTTTAGGAACTGGGGCAGTATCTATAGTAGCGCAGTGTAGGCGGAGCCGTGACGTGATCTTCAGAGGACCCCAGAAAAACAACACAGCCGTTAGCTGTTAGCACTCAGATCTCACAGCTCCTCATATATGTTCAGAAACTAGACAAAAGTTAAACAAGTACAAACCACAGACTGCCTGTGTCATGGTGAATACAGTCGCTGCTTTATTTATGTCTGTATAGGCCGTTGTTGTGAGTGTGGACGGTCGGAGCATATACTGCGTTAGCTTAGCCAATCTCCATTTAGAAAACAAGCATTTTAAAAGGTTTTTCCCCTGCCGTCTGTCTGCAGACTTGACAAAGCATTAATTCATGGTTTTTACTAACCGGTATCAGTATGTTGTTACTTCGGCATCATTTTGAAACGTGTATTACAATTAAATCACGGTCAAATATGTCCATCTTGTTGTAGTTGTAGCCCCCTTGCCAGCGACGCTCTCTCTAGTTTAGCATACTCAGCCCGACTCAGCCTCGTTGTCTCTGGCCCTGGACCCACGATTTTATGAGGCCAGAAAAACTGTGAATTAGGACCCGCCGGCCGGTACTAGGCCAAGTGGAAACGCAACCAAAGACGGGCCGCTGACGTCACAGCCCTCTTAAACCGGGCTGCGCGCTGTAGTGGAAACGCGCCATTAGTCTCTGGAATCAACCTGTACATACGGGTGCTGAAGAAATCCCTTTGTAAATGTGATACCATGGGCTGAGGCTCAAAATACCCATTCATAAACTGTAATTGAATTACATTGGGATCTCTTCAGGGCCAGTATGAGCAGGAATGCTCACAGCTTCAAATAACTTTTACAGTACATATGAATAAAGGAATCGTGAACCTATTTATTAAGGACCATGGGGTGTAAATGTGTGAAAATACAAACTTGCTTTACCGAAAAAACAATGTTTACTTTAGCATCTTAAAGGCTTGGAAAAACAATGTCAAGCAAGTGTAAACTGACCAAAATGAACATGAATTACTCACAGTTTCTTCTATTTACTTTTATGTTAGAAACCATGCTCTATGACATCTTTTTTTTGTTACTCTTTCGTTGCTTGACACAATTTTTCCAAAAACACTAAATAAAAAAAACAACTTACAACTCCACTTGGACTTTAACACCAATGACTGAGAAGACTTCACTTGGACTTGAGACTTTTGACATGAAAATACTTGAAAACTTCCTCCAAGCCTAAAGATTAAAGAGTGGGTGATTTAAAAAGTGTGCCACTAATCAATAAGTCTCCTGAACCAATGTATGTTAATATTTCATTCCCAGTAAGTTTAAATTGAATTCCCACAGGATATTTTACAGTTTTAAAATGTTGGTGTCAGTGGTTAACAATGTTTCACTAGAAGTGATGTAAACGTTACATTCATTAAAATACTTAACCCTGCGTGTGGGTGGTGGAAGTTAAACTAGGAGAGAAATGTTAATATGGAGTATAATACACTATACTTGAATCATTAGTTCTGGTTAACAATAATCCAAACCATGGGATATTTTGACTCAGGCTACATGGGTGTTTGGGTGGCAACAATGACTGTGCTCAGACAGACTAGAGAGACTCACCTCACAGAAAAACTCGTTTCCCCTTAGTCCACAGAACCAGGAGATCCATGACACTTCCTCTGAACTGCTCATCTCTGAAGACCTTTTGAAGAGAGGGGGGATACTCCATTATAATCCAGAAATAAACCAACTAGCAACACTGAATTCACACTTTGAAACATAAGTATAATAATTTACAGTGTCAAATTCATATTTTCAACTGGTCAAGTGAATTCTCCGTATGTTCAGAATGTGAGTTTTCTTGTGCAGAAACTATGTAATACTCTGTCATAAGAGTAACTTGACGCTTGCTGTTGCCCAAACCTGATTAGAGCTAAGCTAACAGGCTAGCGGTACCTATTGAACAGTTATCTTTATAAAGTAGTCACTTTAGTATCGTTTTTTGGTCTTAAATCCGTCATCAACGTGTGTTATTAAAGATCAAACAAGTCTTATATATATATACGTGGTGGATATATGCTACGATACAGGGCTAAATTAATGTAGCCGTGGTTAGCTCGCTAAGCTAAACTCAATACAACATGGCGCATCGCTGGGACACAGGCCTCATGACAAACAGCAGCTCTTTACGGAGCTCACTCCGGCTCTGAGTTTAAACCTCTCAGTGTGGTTGTGTGGGTGATTCTGCCAACTTACCGGGCTTTCAACTTTTATACTCCTTAAAAAATCCGACAGATCAAAAATTGAGCAATCTCACCGGTGTAAATAAGATGGACACCAGCTCCCAGTTCACCCTCCAGGTTCTTCCTCGACCTCCCGAGACTCGCAGGCAGCTCACCACGCCGCCGGGGCGCTGCTGCCGCCCCGTGGCCACTCTGAGTACTGCTCTGCTTTATTCTGTAACCCGTTTGTGTCCGAAACTAAACATTTGGGTTTTTACTTTTTATTATAATTATTTACAGTGCATAAGAACCGTATTTACAAAACCAAAACATATACTTATAAAAAATAAAAAATATATTAAGACAACAAGGAAAAAAGGGAAAGGAAAAAAGACAGTATGGTGCTATTTTATTACTAATAAGTAAATGCTAGTTGATCCTGTGGGAAGTGTCTGGCCAAACTGGCGTGAGCATGTGTGATCTGTTATAAGATTGAGCCAGTGGTTCAATCTTATAAAATAAAGAAATAGGTTATTTCGTTCTGTTTAGTAATAGTAGGACTACTTTTCTTTGCAGTTATTGCTATCAGAATGCACATTTGGAGATGTTGTCGGATAGTGATGGAGGAGAACTCGCCTTCGAGACAATGGAGCAGTGAGGGGGATGATGTTGAGGATCTCTGAACTTTTGTGTGTTCCCCTGGGGAAGAGTTTTCCGGGCTTGCCTAAACCAACGTTGTTCTATAAATACAAGTGTTAAAAATGTATCAATTTGCAGGAACCATTTTTTGGCTGAAAAATTAGGGCTAGTACCTAGTAAGCACTCATTAATATTCAACATTCTTATAATAATAATCATAGCACATTAAGCATTTTATATGAATGACAAGGTGAGGTTTCATAATACTTTTATTTTAGTTTTGATTTATTTTTGAGTATTCACTTTACCTAAAGCAAACAATGACCACTTGTAGTAACTTATCACCAGCTTGTAATGTATTCTGTCTGCCTTTACCTCAGGAATGCAATATATTATGGTAGTTATAATACCCTATGAACCCTACAAAAACAAAAAAATGTGTGTGACATCTGGTGCTGCTACCTTGCGTTTTGTTGGTGGGGATAAGTGTGTTTTAGTCTATGGATAATGTACATTATGGTGCCTCTTTTTCAATAACATGCTGTAACTTTGTCTTTAGTCTGAGGATTAAATGTCCCTTCCCTCAAATATTCTCACTTTTCCTATCAGGAGCCTTACACACACCAAGAAAAGTAACATTAGATTGAAAAATGTTGTGAAATGTTATTGCTGCAATAAAGAAGAAAAAGTATGGCTTTTAAAGATACCCTATCCGCATTTGATGTGTTCAAATACCTCTAGGAATTTTCAACATCAGGCAGTCAAACATTAATTCGATACTAAATTCACATAATTTGAAAAGCCTCCATGTTCCCTAATAGGTTGTCTCTCAGTCTAATTTTCGGACAAAAATAACTTATGCTATAAGATGCATTTTTTTAATGTATTTGTTAACTATAAACATTTTTTAAAAACATCTTAAAATGTCATCCACGTTTGGGAAAGTTAGGTTAGCAGATTTGCAACATGTTGTACATTATTTCCAAGTTTGTAATATTTATAATGTGGTACTTTATAAATAACTAATAGCTTAACATTAGTTCTACAGAAATGGATTATAAAATAAATAACAAATCAACTTTCATGAAGGACATTTTGTGAAAAACAGGTTTAACTATCAACATAGTTGCAGCCATTAACTAATGGCTGCTTTGAGTGATTCACTGACACACCTACATTGAATCAAACCATTCTACCTACTACAAGTTTTTCTTGCTATGACCTGTCAAAACATGTGAAGTGGAAGTTTTCTGTTTCAAATATTAAAAAAAGAATGAGACATGCCATATCATTTTCCATTAAATCAAAAGTAGTTTATTTAACTTTGCCTTCTCTGTATAACTTTATTATAATAAGACACTTCTCTGCTTGTACATTGCTCCCTTGAACTAAAAATGGCAACATTTGTTGGTGGGAATGTAAGTTGGGGTAGACAAAACTTAGATACATACCAATATACATACATGTGTGTATATTACGGTTCCATTAATAAAACCATAAATGCTAAAAAACAGTTTGAACCACTCCAGGTACCTTGGTAATGCTGGAAACATAGTACAATCTTTGAGTAATTTCTTTCTGGAATACACTAATTTAGTTTTCTTTTAACATGGGTACATAAAATAATGCGCACATCAACATTAAGAGTAAAGGAGGGATGAAGGACTCTTTGAGCCAGTGTTTAAGTGTACAGCTATCAATGTATAAACAGGCAAGGCAAGCTGCACCCATGGGTGTGAGTTCATGCTTAGAAGTGAGAAAAATAAAATATGTCCAACTTCACTTGCCTGCAGAAGAATGTATGATTAAATTACACACACAAAAAAAAGGGTGAAGTTCTCCACTGCGTGTTCTTCATTTGGATGTTGAACATGTAAACACAGCTGAACGTATACATGTGGATGTATTTAAGAAACAGTAGAATTGTCTTAATAATGTTGGTTAAATCACATGTGGGCAAACAAGGCAGAAAAGTGCTTGCCATTCATGTTAAACCCCTCTGGTCCCCCACCCCTTCCCCCGAGTTATTATGCAAACACCGGAAAACGCACACATGCCACACACACACACACACCAGCACGCACACACGACGTACACAAATCATCAAATGCCCTACTCACAACATCCCATCAACTGTTGTCAGTAAACAAACACACCCCAACTTACAGCAGTGACAGAATTGATGCAGATGTATAAATCGATTTTAGTTGGATTCCGTCTGTGTGCCATTTTATGTATTTTAAGTATGATACAAACTATGTTTACATGTGTAATTCTACATCAATCCAAATATTTTCACAACACTCCAGGTCTGCATTATTTGTTGCGAGTGAAATCTTGGAAACTGTGTTGCAGCATTGTCCTGAAATCTATTAGTTTGGGCTTCTGGTTGTCCTGGAACAGCCATCCCATTAACACACACTTTGAAAAGTACTTTGTCAGACTCAGAGCTCTTGGTATTAGTCCTTTCTCAGTGTGAGGAGTCTCCACAAGAGTACACAGAGGGGGTGTTTTAGTACAATATTCATCCTTATCTCTGTACTCTGGGCCCAGACAGAGTACCTGTCCTGATGCATGACATGTAACTTGCCCAAAAAAAACAAAGAAGAAAAAAAACTAAAAAAAACTGCAAAAATGGGATTGTTGTTATACTACAAGGAGTGCTTATTAGAACATATATTTAATTACCTATTGAAGCATAAACAACTTTTATGAAAGTCAAACTTTTTTTTTTCTTAATTCTAACATGACCTACATTTTCACTTAACTCGTTTTCCCCCCTCACAAGATCGATAGGTATTTTATCTTCAGAGAAAAAAAAAAGTGTTTCCATACAAATGGAAGTCACTGAGGAAATAATGGTTGTTAAAATAAAGCCATTAAGCTATTAATACAGTCTTCAAAGGGTAAACAAAACTTACAAATGAGAGAATAAAACTTGGGGAAACTGATGCAGAACTTAAGGAGGATGCTACGATGAGGCTAAAAAGCCATCATTTCCTAAAAAGGACCAACCACTACCAAATGAAATGTCAGAGCAGGTCAACAACTTTTTAGGGGTTGGGACAAAATCACACCATCTATCTGAACAAGCAGCAGAAACATTGATATTAAAGACAAATCAATGTGATCAATGCAAAGTGTAGGTGAGCACTAAGCAGTAGTACTTTGATGGGTCTTATCACAGTAATCATAGACAGTTTGCAAGAGACCAAAAAGTCATCAAAAAGGGGATTTGGGGAATTTATTAAAAAGGTTTTTTAATTACCTGCGTTTTAGAAGAAAATACCCACACCCCTAACATTTGCTGAGAGGTTGAAACTCATCTGACACAAGGCCAAAAAAAAGACACAAAGAGAAAACATCTTATGGTACATTGTTCACGTTAAAAGATGAAGCTGCAGCTTTTTCCCTTTGTGAGGGAAGTAATGCAGCACTGCACTACTGAATACCACCCAAGGCCAAAGTGTGGTAGAAATATACACAGGTACATAAATATAAAAATTTGCCCAATCCATTTTTGCCAATTTAATCCCCCGTTTTTCATTTTGCACCCACATGACTGCATGTGTTCCGTGTGTTCGTAAAGATGTCTGATTTGTGCTTGTATATGTGAGTGTGTGTGGATCTCTGTGTGAATGTCTGTCAAAACGTCGTGCACCTCCCATTTGCAGAACCACATGCTTGTTAAAATCCAACTGGGGTGAGGTTCTTGAGGGAAGATAAGGGAGGCAGGGGGCGGGAGGGGGCACAACTGAACGGAGAGCAAGACGGAACAAACGGAAAAATGTACAATAACGGACGGTAGATAGTGGGTTGATGCTAAGGGGAAGAAGTGAAGGTAAATACCATCTCCATGAACTGTTCAATGCACTAATATGTTTAGGGATGCCAACAGATAAGCCATGAAGTAATTATCAAAAAGGGATTAGGATGTAAGAGGGTGTTTTTAATGTGGGTGGGGTTCATCTGAAATGTTTTTCATCACTTCCTATTTTTCGGGGAGGGCCAGTTTCCACGCCTCTCCCCGCGGTTGCCTCCTCCATTTCCGGGACCACCGGAGCCGCCACCGGGCGGCCCTCGTGGGCCTCTTCCTCCTCCCCCTCCTCCTCCACCACCACCACCACCTCCACCACCTCCTCCTCCTCCTCCATGGTTGACCCTTCGGTTCTGTCGCTCCATGCCTGGACGCTGGCTTGAGAAGCTTCTTTTATTAGCCAAGGGCTCTTTCCCCGACATGTCGCGGTCGACCGCGCCACCACCTCCCCCTCCACCCCTTCCCACGTGGTGGGGATGGTGAGAAGAATAGGTCTTCCCCCCTCCTCCTCCCTCCCTGTCTCTGAACTCTGTGAAGTCGCTGCTCTCGGAGGCAGTCTCCCATTCCTCGTTGGCCTGGTCCGAGTTCTGGTTGGTGAAGTCGGGGGACTTTGCTCCGTGGCTGTGGTGGTGCTGGGGGTGCGTCGGTCCGGCGTTGCCCTGGTTGTAGTGGTGATGATGGTGATTATTTGCATTGCCGAGATGCCCGCCACCACTGTTATTGTTGGTTGTTAGTGTGGTGTGGTTAGTATTTTGGGCATTGCCCGTGACAGGGGCTGAGGCGGGTGCTCCGTTACTGTCCTGAACTGAATTCAGGGAAGGGGAGGAGGGCCTTCCTCCACCGATGACCCCCACTCCTCCGTTGATGCGTGCTGCATTTTCTCGCTCCTTCAGTCTACGGAAGCGGGGGGGCTTGTCCTGCTGGTGCTGGGACCGCCCATGACGACGACGTCTGGGTGGGCGCTCAAACCCGCTGGGAGGGAACCCACGGTTAGTGGGAAGAGGAGCGTTTGGCCCTCCGGAGTTTGGCGTAGGATTGGTCGAAGCTTGCTGCGTCACAACTCCTCCATTTTCAGTGGAACATAAGCTGGCAGGAGGTGCAGCGGGGAGAGGCGGCTGAGGGGGATTGGACCCCTGACTTTGAGTTTGACTAGCATCAGCTATTTTGTCTTTCTTCTCTCCTCCATTTCCTCCCCTGCCCGAGTCTTTGGGTCCAGATGTATGAGGCGGGCCTTGTTGCTTTCGGGCTGAGCCTGATGACTTGGAGGACCCACCCTGAGAGGCGGGGCCGGGTCCGCCCCTGTGTCCCCCTGGTGGGCCTCCAACATTGCCACCACTTCTGTACATATTTCCTCCTCCACTTCCTCCACTTCCTCCACCCCTGCCCCTCCTTGAGGGCACACCTCTTGGTGTAAACACCCGGGCCTGGGATCCTCTGGGTGGTGCAGATGACATGTTACCGCTGCCGGTGGCATTGGCGTTGTCAGAGCCATTCTTGCTGGGTTTCGGGTGTTCGTCCTTGTCAGAGGGGCCGAGGTCACTTGCACCGCTCTCACTCCCGGTCTCTGAGCCTCTCTCCCTCCTTCTCTTGGGAATTTCCTCGTACTCTGAGCCCTCGCTTCGGGTTTCACTGCGGTTCCTGGCTCTGGCCGGGTTATGCTGGGACCGATCCTGACCGTGACGACCCCCGGCTCCCTCGCCCTTTGACTCGTGGTTGTGGCCACCGCCGACAGATGAACGGTAGTCTCTGCCGCTCCTGCCACCCATTCTGCCCCGACCGCCGGGAGTGGGCCCAGCAGCAGCGGCGGCGGTGTAAGCGCCACGGAAACCACGGCCACGGCCGTAGAACTCTCCCCCTCGTCCGCGACTGACTCTGCTGCCTTTGGCAGGGACCCCATGGTGGTGGGGGGGGCCTCCTCCTCTCTCAAAGGAGCGGTCCCTGTCCCTCCTGGAGGAGGAACCTGAAAATCCTAAAGAAGTGGCATCTCCATCTTTGGGCCCTCTACCAGACCCAGACCCGCCCCCGCCCCCGCCCCCGCCCCCTCCTCCTCCTCCTCCTCCTCGTTCTCGTTCTTTTCCTCCATTCCTGGGTTTGGCTGTCTGAGCTGGCTCATCTTTAGATGGAGCTGATGTGTTCTGGGAAGTGGAGGAGCCTTCCTGCTTCACCGAGGTGGTTTGGCTACTATCCTTCTCTTTATCCTTACTAAAGATATTCTTTTCTCCTCCATCAGCTTCCCCTCCGTCTCTCTTCATCTCTTTCAGCACCGGCTTCTTAATTGGGCCGGCCCTCCTGTTGGCATTGCTGCCTCCTGTCTGGTTGGAGGGTTTGTGGTCCGATGGATTGTTAGAGTCCTCCCCTCCACGGGAGTGGTTCCCACCTCCAGCATTGTTGGCCCTCCTACCATGAGAGGACCCCCCACCAGTATTGCTGCTTCCAGGTCGTGGGCCCCACTGGGTCTCCGTTTTGTGTTCCCGCCCCCCTCTTTGGTTTGGTTTAGCATGAGGGTGGTGCTGCTGCTGCTGCTGCTGCTGCTGCTGCTGCTGCTGCTGCTGCTGCTGAGGCTGAGGCTGAGGCTGAGGCTGAGTTTGAGTGCCATGTTGAGTGGGGGTTGGGCTAGGGGTCATGGAGGAATGGGGAGTGTATGCTGGGCCGGTTTTCTCCTGTTTCATATGGTTGTTACTGCCACTGTTGCCTCTTTCTGCCTGACTGTGCCCTTCACTCTCTCTCTGATTCGGGTGATGGTGCAGGACAGCTTTGACATTCCCATCTTCTCTGACAGATGAGGAGGAGGAAGAGCAAGAGGATGAGAGGGAAGGTTGGTTGACTGGGGGAGAAGAGTCGGTCTTCTTAGCAGGCGCCTCAACAACCCTGTCTCTGTTGTTCTCTGGCTTATGGCCATGGAGAGGGAAGTGAGGCTGCTGAGGGTGGTGGCTGTGATGGTGGTGGAGATGAGAGTTGCTCTCAATTGGGGGATGTTCAGTACGGCCGTTGCGATCATAGTGAGGGTGAGGGGTTCCCCATATCTGTCCCTGCTGAGACCCTCGTGGAGGTCCTTCTTCCTGGTGGGTGTAGGCGTGCTGCTGATTTCCCCTCTCCGCCCTCTGTTGTTGGTGGGGATGCATCCTCCCACCCTGGTCAGGGAAGTTGCTGTAGTTGCCCCGCCCACTCATGTAGTGATGAGGGTGGTGGCCCTGGGTCCCAACTTGATTGCCAACTAGCGGCGGTGTCTGATTGGATGTCCCAGAGGTGGAGCTGGGCTGCTGAATGGGTCCCAATCTACCCTCTTGAATGCGATGAGGAGGAGTGTCGCTCCTTGGAGAAAGATTGAAAGAATACTCAATTAATACATTTTAAAAAGGCTCAGTTCAACTGTATTACAAAATAACTTTTATCCTCGACACTTTGAGCATAAAAACAGGTGTATCCTTACCTGGGCCCTTTGGCCACATCGTCATCCTCCAATGCCTGCTTCTGTCTGAGTGGGGAGGTTAGTCCACGGCCCTCTACTCCACCAGGGAATACCTCCTGCCCCCAGGCCATCTTAGGATCCATAGGGGGGGTCCCACGGTGTGGATGCCCAGGATGCTGTTGCTGCCTATCAAAGGGGTCTGAACCAGACCCCCCTGAATCAGACCGTTCACGCCCAATAAGCCCTGTAGAAGTAAATAATTATTTTTCAAGAAAATATCTAAACGGATAATGTAAAAAAAACAAGACATATTGTTGACTTTACTTCACTTTCTGTATTATGATAGTATTATTTAATCTAATTACTTTACCAGCATTACACCGGAGTTATTTATCTTCAAAGCATCAACTCACCAGACGGGTGCATGCCTGCTGAATAGTAGTCCATAGGTGGAGGGCGGCCCTGCATCATGCGGGGGTCCATGTAGGGCATCATCATCCAGCGAGGGTCGAAATTCATTGGCAGGGGCGGGGGTCGAACCATGTTGCCGGGTTGATACATGGGGCCACCCTGCTTAGGTCCAGGGCCTGGCTGGGGTGTTGAACCCGGTGAAGGACCCTGCTGAGGCTGGGGCTGGGGGGACAGCTGGCTTTGTGAAGCCTGGCTGTGCTGCTGCTGCTGCTGCTGCTGTTGCTGCTGCTGCTGTTGCTGCTGTTGTTGCTGTTGTTGTTGTTGCTGCTGTTGCTGTTGCTGTTGTTGCTGCTGCTGCTGCTGCTGCTGCCACTGCTGCTGCTGCTTCAGGAGCTGCTCCTAGATGGAAACAGAACGCAAAACATAGCATCAATATTTAACAGGAATATCAGAAATACCTACTAAAAGGCATGGCTGCATTTGTAGCAATAGACATAGCTTTTATGGTTATCATATGTTGGTATTAATAAGATGTACAATGAGCGAAACTCATTTGCGACATAAGTACGGATCCTAACCTGCTGCTGCCTCTGAAACCGAGGTGGAAGAGACTTCTGGTACTTCGAGTAACCCTGGCCTGGAGGACCTCCAGCTTGACGACTTGCTCCCCCTCCGATATTCTCCATCTTCACCGGGTCGACTCCTCTTTCACCTCCACTACTAGCACGAATGTGTGTGGCGCTAACGGTCTCTTCCTTGGTTTCCTCTGGTAAAGGCACGTCCAGTGCGGGCTGCAGGGGCTGTGACACAACCGGCTGGGGACACTGCGGCGCTTCTGAACCAAGACAGAAGGTTGAAAGGTTGAAAGGGGGCATTAACCAATAGGTGGAGGCTTTATATAAAAACTGCTATATTTTTAAAAGATAAGAAAGACGTATCACATGTAAGTGATCCTAATAATAGAACAAAGAAACTGACCTGCACTGGAGTCATAGCTGCTGTTGCTGCTGGCTCGCTGACGTTCGATGATTCCAGGACTGGACCCCGGCTGGACAAGCAGCACTGGAGGCTCCTCGGGGTCAACACAGGGGGATGGGGGCTGGCTGATGTTAGGGGAGGATGCAGAGGCTGAAATAGATGGACAAGGGCTGCCTCCAGTGGCAGCAGTAGAGTTTCCATCCAGACTGGGGCTTTTACATTCGCTACCACCGTCTGTGTTGCTGCCCAGCTGCTGTTGCTGCTTCTCGTCCAGCCTCTTCAGCTTCTCTGCACAGGCTGCACGTCTCTCTTCCTCCATCCTACGTTCTTCCTCCTCGCGGCGGCGACGGGCTCGCTCTACAGCAGCAGAGATCTCAGTGGAGGACTGCTTCCTGCGCTGGCGCCAAGTCTCATCCTCATCGTTGTCCTGAGGCTGGGCATTTGGAGAGGGGCCTCCTGGTGCTGGCTGGTGCTGGGCGGGCAGAGGCTTCCCCGGGCCTTGAGAGGTACCCTGGTTTTGGGCCCGGTCCTGAACAGTTGGAAAATTGATTGCTTTATTATGCTGTTTTCTAACTTTCTAGATCAGTGGTTTTCAGAGACTGTGGGCCTACCTTCAGAAAATGCTGGGATAAAAGCACCTCCACAGCCCCCACCTTAGTTGACTTAGTATTCCCAATTCGTGGATACAAATGGGATCATATTTGTGTTTTTGATCCCACAGATACCGAACAATTTTGCAAAAATATTTGTTATGTCTTGTAAATTGCACTGTTGAGGAAACCTGCTGTCTAAGTCTTCCATATATTACATAATGACACCTTAGTTGTGTATATGTTATGACAATAAACCTGTGAATCTTGAACTATCTCTCGAACTAAACCCACATTTTCGCTATTCTATGTGATCCTCCTTAAATAGCGTATTCTTTATAATTTCTATTCACTGAGCCTTCCCTGAAACTGTTTGGATCCCCCCCCCCCTCTCCCGTGTGAAGGCCCATCTAACGTTTTGAAAACCTCTGCTCTAGATGACACCACACCATCTTTTTGAGTAAAATGTTTATGGATGAATACATAAACCAAAAGAAAACTCAAAAAGCCAACTGAAAAACTAAGAATGACTTATTCATAAGACCCGGGACAAGGATGAATTAATGACAGAAATGATATGTCTATGAGGCGCTATCTGGATGGCTACCTGTCGGTAAAAGGAGTAAGGCCCTTGTCCAAGGAGCGGCCCAGGTGGGGGGGAGGGCTGCTCCCGGGGACCACCCAATCCAGGCCTGCACCGCTGTATACAGGCAGACAGTTAGCCATGCTCCACCACAATAATCTACACTGACAAAAACACACACTAACCACCAATAAATCTTTGCTTAACAGAACACCCAAAATGGCCTATGCTGTTAAGTTGGACATCACGTCTTTCACAGCGTGAATAACAGTTTTTGCTTTTGGTCGGCATGCTACCTGGAAGTTTGTTGCTGCTCCTTGGCCTCCCACGCCAGCGCCTCCCTCCTCGGCCCATCCTGGCTTGCTGGAGGGGGGTTGCGGACCATTGTCAGCATTAGAGGGGGGAGTGCGGCGAGATTCACCGCCGCTGTCCGAGGCTCGAGAGCGAGAGGCTGCAGGGGGAGCATCCTGGGACCTCTGCTGCTCACTGAGGACAAGAAACATGTTTGTCAAATTAATTATAGTTGCATAATATAATCCCATTTTTGTCAATAAAACATTATTGACATAATTTGAATTGATCTTATGCTGTCTGTACTTGGTCACATACCGTAATTCATTCTTACTCTCGGATCTCTCCTCTTCCCCCTCTTCTTCACCTTCATCATCACTGAACTTCAACTTGGCAGAGTAATCAATCTCCTCATGAGCGCCTGTTAAAAGCAAAAACATCAAATTAAAAACACATGAAAACATTGAAATCATGTTTGTATCATGCGATCGTAGTGACCTATGATTGAATCAAATGGTCATAACCTCCTTTATTATATAGCGGCAGATGCCGTTTTCTACATTCCACATGACTAAAGATTCCTTTTTCCAGTGCATTTGTTGGGAAACTGTTTATCCTTCTTAGTGTGAAATTATCATTATCCAATCAGGACATTTTTAGTTACAGGTTCCCAATAGCAAAAACTATTTACAGGTTGGTTATACATTTGTAAATAAGCTTTTTTTGTTTTACCGGCCCATCCGTCATCTCCGTCGTGGTCCAGCTCGTCTAGCTCCTTCAGGTCATCCTGCTTTAGGATAGAGGGTCGCTTCGGCCCCTCTCCACCTCCTTCACGTTGGCCGCCCTGAGGAACAGCCTGCCTGAACCTGAGAAAGGGAACAACTTCCTTTTAATTGAACAGTTGATTAACAAAAAGTGTCTCCCCAAAGGGTCAAATATAATGGATTATATTTTTCAAAGAAACTGTCATGAAGTGGCAAAATATTAGCTTTATAATGGCACATACCTTGGCGGGGGCCCTTCCCCGGGTCCCGGGTACCTGTAGGGCCCCTGAGGGCCATAAGGACCCGGAAAGGGCAGGTAGGGAGGATACATCTAAAAACGAAAAAAAAGAGATCAGGTTAAGATTCAAGAGAGTGTTCTTAGGCTATGCTATTGCATTCTATAGACTTTAATGTAAACACCAAGCACATAATAAAATGGACTGCAACACAGTTGTGTAGCGCGAAAAACAAGATATATTAACCAAAAACAAATACTAGAATATTTGCCAGAAATCAACCATGAAAACAATAAGAAAACTTACGAATGGAGGCATGATCCCTCTGTATTGCGGGAACCCAGGTCCCACAGGGGGCTGGGGCAGTGGCAAGGCGGGGCTGCCTGCGGGAGGGTTCCTAGGTGGCCCGTGGGACTGAGAGTTCGGAAGGGGGACCCCAGCTGCCCCATCCATCACCAGAGCCCCACCAAGGCCACCCTCCACTGCCCCCTCCCCAGACAGGGTGGGCGCCATGGGTCGGCCCCCACCGTCCCGCCAACTTGTAACGTCTGAGGACAGAGAACACAAGAGCGGTCAGTATCATTTATTTGTCCAAATGAAATAAGGTAAGAGAAAGATAACACAACTTATTATTTTAAATAACACAAAAGTAATTGTATTTATTTTGTCTCATTCCCTAATTAAATGTAGAGTTAGCAAGCGCATACCATCCAGGCATAAAGTAAACTTTAAAAAAACACTTGTTGTATTCTCTCTTGTAAGAGAAGTTTTCCAATCCCACCTGACTTAATTAAATGACGAGCCATTGATTCATGTTGGGTATTAAGCGGGCATCACTCACTCTGGGGGCGGAGGTTTGGTACGGGCCCATACCACTGATCTGCAGTGCCCGGTTCTTTGCCAACTTTGTCCTGGTCGCCAGCCGCCTGCAGGGTGGGAAATTCCTCGCGAGAGAATGGCGACTGTTGGTTTAATGCCTTTCCACCTGTAGAAAGTTGCTAGGTTAATGTATTTTTCTTAAAGGGGTTACAAAAAGCTTATTCCAACTTCCTTCTTATTAAAGTAAAAAAGTAAGACTCACCATCCCCTTGTGTTCCATGTGTACCACTGGCCTGTGCCCAAGACCTTGCCCCTGCGGCCTGGGTTGAAGCTGGCACCAGAGGCTGTGGGGGAACACACACAAACAATGAGCCCCATATGATACATGTCAACTCTCCACAGACATTATCATGCAAGCCAAGGATTTTGCATTTATGTCACTGGGACAGTCTGTACCTCTGAAACTGGCGGGGTTCTCGGGCGGGTCGGTGCAGGTGTCGGTGAAGCCACAGGCTGCTGCAATTCCGGCTGCGGTGCTGGCGATGCATCGGTACTGAGAGAAAGAAAAAAAGTCACAAACCACAGAATTAGACAGGATAGCCTGGGGAAAATTATACCGTAAAACGTTTTTTTTCCACAACCAATTCTGGTAACTTCGATGTTGCAGGGGGAGTTTAAATACCTCTTTGGGTCCGCTGCTTGTTCCTGTTTGCTTGCCCATCCTGAGCCGTCTTTGGGAACGAGCGAGACGTTTGGATCGTTGCCTTTGTTCTCTGCCTTCAGACTGGGCAGGTTGGCAGGTGGTGGCATACGCCGTGCGGAGGCAACTTTACCAAGAGACTGCAGGCCATGGCGGGGGGGAACTGATATGGGGAGGAGGAGGAGATCATTAGCACAGATGGACCACTGAAACCCGAGACCAATTCTATCTACTGGGTCTAAGGATCGGCTTGATGACAAGGATAGCGTTTGCTGGATACAATATTAGGATGGTGAAAAACCAATAAGGCTAGAAGCTTGGAAGTTTCAGTCTGGTGATTCCGGTGAATATGGATTATAAAAAGGCTTTCTAGATGTTATTAAAAACCTTCAGCAAACCCACTTCAATTACAGTTTGTGAAGAGGTATTAAGATATTGATGCTCACAGAAGCATGAAAAGCCATTAGATTCTGAAAAGTGAAGCTGTGCTGAATATCAATCCATCGTTTGTCTCCTTCCTTCAGGCTCAGAGAAACCAAAGCAGTGCATGGCTTCACTATGTAGGAGGAGGAAGTCTGTAGTCAGACAGCTGCTTAGATCTAGTGGGGTGCTTCTGAATAAAACATCGACTGGGGACTCGGCACAGAAGTCAAACAGCGTCCACAAGTAAGCCTCTGTCTCAGGTCAGGCCCAGTGGCCCCCAGGCTCAGCTGACATGTGAGCCAGTCACCCTCCAGACCCTTCATACTTAATTTGTATACCACTAAAGATAAGAAAAACATTCTCGAAGACAATGTTTTTTCTCTCGCTGAGATTAGTGTTGAGTCCTTAAAATACAAGGGTAGTAAATATCCCTGATCGCTGAATAAAACCGCATCAGCAAAACCAGGTTGGCAGGCAGTTGAGAGATGCAGCACATCATTCACTCTCTGTATTAGAAATCAGCATCAGAGCTATTAGGAAGACAGTGGGATAATGCATCAAAGTTGCGGTTCTTGGTGTCGGGAGACAACAAACCCACTTTTAATCACAGCCAACGGGTGAATACAACTGTGGGCAGCAGATCTGTCTTTTAAGCCCAGATCTGATTCATTACAAAACAAGTCGCACAACTTTAGTGACAAAATGAAATTAAAGTGGCGGAATGTAAAAAGAGCCTGTGAGGAAAGCGATATTGCAAACTAATACCCAGCGTAGAAAGACAGGTTGGCATCCATTACAGTAGATATGTGGTGTGACAATGAAAGCTTGAACATGACCAAGCCAAAGATACTCACCAACAGGCTTTTGTGTTTCAAGGCTCTTTCCTTTGTATGTATCAAACAGGTTGAGAGACGCATACTTGGTTTTGCCTTCCTTCCCCTTTGCAGTTTGCCCAGAGCGCTCTGACATTGCGCTGTCCGCTCATTGAGTATGGTGAGCCCTGAGACTGGGGAGGAGAGAGAGAGGCAACGACATAGAGATTGGAATCCAGGTACTCATAGAAAGTGAAAGTAAAAAAGTGCTGATTATACAAGCATGCATTCATAACATCCAGCAAAACAGAAAATGCATGACAAATCAAAACATCCAGAACATATGTGTTCTGATTTACAGATTGAAATAAGGGATCTGACAGCTGGACGTGGTATTGTCAAGCAGTCAACTTGCAGTAGAACAGTGTAAAGCACAATCCTACAACTCTGTTTAAATATCTTTATCAAGGTGATTCAGTGTTTCCCCTAGGATGGAGTCATAGTAGCGGTGCTAAGGCACTTGGGCCTAGCTAAATGTGATCGCGGAGCGAGTGGATTTTTTTTGTGTTTGTGCGTGCGAAGTGCGCACCGCCAATATGTTTCTATGTGTCTGCCAGCACAAGAAAGGCTCTTGAGGCTCTACAGGTGTATTTTGCTAAATCACCTTTATTGAACATACGGTAACACAAATACTACACATCCACATAACAAACAATCAAAATAAAATGTATGCAATTTAATTATTTTATCCTGCTTTATTTGGGGGTGGACCTCACATCCTCCAGGGGGGTCCGGGGCATGCATCCCCGGGAAGATTTTTTTTTAAATGTTGAAGTTAAATGCATCAATCTGGTGCACTTTGAGCACAAAATGAATGTATGGATACAGCTCTCAACACTCATATGAAAGGGAGCTGTATACTTTTCAATAATCCAAACATCTTTAGAATATGATCACAACCAATAACAAATCATTTAAACTTGTTTATTCTTATCTTATGTTACCTAGTTAGTATTCTTTCTTTTTCTTTATGCATATTTGACTAATCACTCCCCTTTTAAACTGTTTGTACTGTCCTATAGTACACATTGGAATGATTTCTTACTTTATTTTTTACAACTATATTAAATAGATAAAAAGGTGTGCTCTCTCTAGCTCTCTCTCTCGCTCACAGAGGCTGTGTGCTCCTCCGTGGCGATGACGCGAGAGCCACGTATTATTATTTTAATGTATAAAAAATATATATACCTCGCTGGCGCCTCGTAGCAGCGGCGTGCATACATTCAGCAGCGGCGCAGCGCTGTTCTTAAAAAAATACAGTTGTATTTAACGTATTTAAAAAATACAGTTGTATTTAACTTTCCATATCACCCAGTTCTAGTGCCAACTATAAAGACTCAATACCAATCCATACAAACATTTGAGGGTTTTCTGACTTATTGAAGCAAAAATACTGTCAACAATTCAACTAATTACCCATTCACAATGCAATATTTATTAATTGTGGAACCTGTTAATCACATAGGTAGTCAATAAAACCACAGAAATGTCTTGTTGACCAGTATGCACTTTAATGATGTACTTGCAAGTTAAATTGATTCAAAGAAATATACAAAAAACACTTTTTAATGCCAGCATCCTTTATTCATTTTCATCCGATACATTTAGTTTAATAAAGTATTTGATGACATTTTTAAAGGAATGCTTTGGCCTTCTACATTTACCAGTTTGGTAAAGACATTTCTGCATTTCAACACAACTCAGATTTAAATGATGGTATAAGTTTAACCACTTAAACAATATATGGATTCTACTGCACCACATTTGTATCATGTGTGATTGCCAGAAGGTATCAAGGTATATTTTTGAAATCACATAATCTATTTTATGCAGTTATAATGCAGTTTAATGAGAACAGAACTAGAACAGTGCATGACTACACACTTTATTACAAGAAACACTGTACAAAAGAGAGGGAAAAAGCTGAGCCATGGTCTCTATGGCAACACATAATAAATGATATTCTTCTATGCCATCTCTTGGCTCCATGGCAACTGCCAGGCCTTTAGCTTGAACTAATTTTACTGCACATCAATAAAACACACAGTGCTGACATCTGTCCAATTAAGAGTGATTTGGCTGCATCAAGCAGGTTAAACAACTGAACCCACTCCATCCTACTCCCATTAGGAACAATTACTGAGAACAGATGATGCTCATCAGATTATTATTCTACAAATAACATTAGTAATTTTAGTTTGAGTCAGGGAACAGGCTAGAGTTGAAAATAACATTGGAATTCGACAAGTCAATTGAAGTTTGGATTACATTTCTAAAAAGCAAAACGTAACTGGAACAAGTATGTGTATATATATGTATGTCATGTGTGTTTTTTTGTAAATATTTATATATAAAAGTCTATATGTATGGCTGTAGCTATGCATATTTAGCTAACTTTTGTCCTAAATGACAAAAACAGAAACAATGGGTATGAATTTTGAAGTTTGGTTCTTAGTGTGCGGGTATAATCCTTTGACCTGGTTTAATAATAACAAAAACATAATTGTGTTCACTAGCTTTCAATGATTTGATGAAAAGAAGGGAGCTAATCCACATGGTTCCTTACCAGAAGAACAATTGTATAGGTGAACTAAGGCTTTAGCTGCATATATTTTGTGGTGTTGTAAATAACCAATCAACATTTAAATGTATACAAAGAAAAATAGTATGTTGTACCCTAAATCATGATATCAACAGTTAACCAGAACATCAAGTCTCTCTTAAAAGATGGCTGTAACAACGCTCATATCGCTAGCTATATGATGAACAACATTGGTGTGAATATGTTAAGTCAAATAAACAACTTAAATCAGGATATATGAATATGAAACCAGAATGATAAGCAATGCTACAAAACGCGAACGTACAGCCTTTACTGCGCACAGATAATCCTCTAAAACGCACGATGTTTGCAATACTCACACACACATCGATTAGCAACATAATAAACACTAAACAACCAAATGGCTACCGGTAGCAGGACTGCACCGTGCCACAATAGTCAGATGAGATTAGAAAATTAGGTCGTGGGATGGCTAGTCAACTACATGCTGTATGGGGATTAACGGGGGCCAACACTGGTAAAAAGCCATAACTGCAGCAACGTTTACCACAAAGAGTCCCAACGAAGCTAGCGTTAACCACAAACACGAACATAGTAAGGCAAAATCGGCCAGTAGCAAATGCACTTGCCACAACATAGTCAAACATCGAACTGCTGAAGCCCCAGACGTAAAAATACATCTTTATTGCGGTGCTAACTTATGTTAGCGTGCTAACACAGGGCCCTGGTGTTCCCGTTGGGAGGGGGACTGCGTTGGTGTTTCATAATGCTTTCTCAACACCTTGCGGTAACATTAGCTTCTATCTATTCAACTCTGCGAGGTGTTGCGTTTTGAATCACACAGCGACATCACGAATGGGCGTTATCATCGACGTTGATGTTTATTTATCTTTTGAAAGAGGCAAAGGAAAACGCTGAAAAAAAACCCGATTTTATTAAGAGAAGAGAACAAAACAAAATGGCGGTGTAGACGGGCCCGGTGCATATTAACGTTAATATAACCGACTGTGTAGCATAACTTCGCTTTAACAAAGCACACTTTCCATCATACAGCTAATATATATACAGACACTGGATAAGGGGAACCTTTAGGATTATCGTTTTGAAATATATAAATGAAAATAAACATGAAATAACGCCAATGTATCGCAGACTGACAGTGTTTTAGTAAGCATCCTGCGCTAACGTGTATCCGCTAACATTAGCTACGCAGTGGATCGTTAGCAAAACATACATTTTAAATTATTTCAACAAAGAGCTAACTTTTAAACCAGGTTCACCAGAAATGTGATATACATATGGAGATTAAAACAACTATTAAACTCAATCCTTTGCTATGACAAACGTTAAACACTTAGCCAAGCTAGGCTAACAAGCAACAACAACCAAGACACACAAAAATAAGACTGCCCCTCCGCAAAACATTCACGGGTTAGAAAAAACCTGTGTCCAAGGCTAATAGTGAGGATGTCTGCCAACTTCAATGTATCTAATCGGTGTTTGCATTAAAACATGCAACATTTTCCGGCCACTGACCTGGTCTTGTCCCGACTTGTCTCGAGGTTGTATCGCAGAATGAGGTTAGCTAATGCTATCGCGTAGCTTTCTAGCAAGTGACCCAGCTAGCTAAGCAACGTTATCCTCCTGCATAGTCAAACACATACGGTCTTTGCAGTAGATCGTACCAATAAAGAAATCAGTTGTACCATACAGACAAATAAGGTGTTCGGCTGCTTACTTGCAATCCTTTTCTCTTTTTTTGGCCCAAAAAATAAAGGAAAAGGGGTAAAAGAAAATTGTAATACTGGACTCGATCCGTCACCTAAAGAGCCGTCAACGGCTACTGGGTAATTTCGTGAGATGGAAGCCGTTTGGGACAGTTAGGAAAAGACGCTTTAGAATAAACGTTTACGTATTAACTTTACTGTGGATGGATTTATTCAAATAAAGGTGCTTTGCTATCATTTTTTAAAATGTAATTTATCAACTTATTTTAACTGTCACAATTAGGGATTTCCATATATGAAGGGTTGCTCAGATTACTTTGAAATTAACTGAGTTACTGAAAAAGGTACAAGGCAATCTTTGTGATTGTTAATACTTTATCTGAATATCCTTGGATTACTCCCAAATCAAACATTGTAAATATTGCACCATACTGTAAAAATCGACTCCATACAGGATCATTTTTTCAATAAAAATAATATAATATGTATATAAAAAAACAAAGTGCACAGTTGGTCAAATTCAGTGGTGTAAAGTAACTAAGTACATTTACTCAAGTAGCCTACTGTACTTACTTGAGTTAAATATTGTACTTTTACTCCATTACGTTTATTTAGTAACTTTAGTTTCTTTGCAGATATAGATGAATGATTAACAATAACATCAACACTTAAAAAATACTTTAGATACACCTCGATTAAATTCACAATTAGCTGACATTGGTTTCAAGTTTACCAGCTTGACAAACACATCAATAATTATAACCAAAACATTTAATATATGATTCTGAAGTAGGCCAATCTTCATAATGTTACTTTTTTAAATTTTACTTTAAGTATATTTAAAGATGCTAATACTTTAGAGTAACATTTTGAATACATGACTTTTACTTGTAACAGTAGGCCTATTCCTATGGTTTTCTTACTTTTACTTAAGTAGAAGATCTGACTACAAAGTGCCACCTTTGATTAAATTATCATTACAAAATCCATACTTGCACGAATTGAAGGTGTATGGTGTCTATTCTATAACATATGGGAAAGGCTTTTAATTGCTTAATTGCATTAGTTATCATAAAAAACAACTTAAAAATAGCCAGATTTTAAGATGTCACCAAAAATGTGTCTTGACAATTTAATTATACACACATTTTACCACATTTTTTATTTACTGTTTATATTGATTTATGTTTTGTAATCTGGATTTGGCCATCTGGATTACATGATCAATTACTAGGTGTAAATGTAGATATGAGTTTATCCTTTAATTGAGCAGGTACAAGTCACATTGAGATTTGAACAGTTATAGGCCTAATGCAAAAATAAAGGTAAATATCAGAATCAGAATACCTTTATTCGTCCCACAGAGAGGACATTTACACATACATACAATTTATAACTGTAAAATGTAAAGCACCAATTACACTATTAAGGCATTTTTGATGGAGAGGTTTTTGTGAATTCAGGTCAGTGTTGCCTTGCTTAATCATGCATGACAACGGAAATCTGCTCAGCGTTGCCAACAAAGAAAATGTTTTTTAAACTGTTAGAAAAACATTTATTACACAGATGCGTGAAATCAATGTATTGTTACCCTGTGTAAAATGATAAATACAAGGAATAGTTTGCATTTTTTTTCAACGAGTTCAGTGCAAAAGAGGACACTTTGGTATCATAATGAGATCATAAACAGATTTGCTCCTTTTCACGCATACATTCAATCACACAGACCTAATTTTTTTTATTATAACTGTTCTTTTTCTCTAAAATACTTCAACAACCCCATAGGAAATACCATACAAGTGCATACGCATGACAAAAGGCTAAACATTATTTTACACATTTTCTGTAGTTATAATGGCAGAACCCATCCTATATTATCTCAGGAAATAGGATTTCTTTTCACACCATCGTCAAACCTGCAGTGAATCTGACAGCTTGTAAAATAAATTAGCGATTGATGCCCTTAGTATTTTTCTTCATGGAAGACTGTGGTGTGATATTTTAATCGTCATAATTTAGTATAATAACGAGATGTTGCTGTTCCCTTCAAGACAGTGTGATTTATGTTGCTTGGAAACTAATCTTGAACATTTAATTGTACCTTGCTTGGTCATGTTTTTGTTTTGTGTAGCAACAGGCAACCCACCAATCATTGTAGCTGTACAGAAAACGTTTTTTGGACAGAAAAATGTACATACAGTCCATTATTCATACAGTCTCATATATAGTGGGAATCTTAGAGAAAAGAAAGATAAAATATGCAGAACATTTCATTTTTACAATATCACAGGCTGAACACAAACATTCTCATTGTTTCATGGGGCTCAGTCGCTCATATTCCCATTTTCAATTTCATAGTGAGTTTAAAAAAGTCTTTATATTTTCCTGAGAAAGTTGTGGAAAAAAAACAGCTTCCTTTTCCCTTTCACTCCTACATTTGAATCTGGGAAACAATCAGAACATGAAATTATAACAAAAGTCAAACTATAGAAATCAGTTTTCATGCCTTTTGATTTTAATTACTTGCCTGCTTACCTTCCAGCAACATGCCCTACCGGCCACCATACAGGTGGATCTTGACGAATGAGACAGTCTCGTCATAGTCCTTATGGCCCTTTTCATAGATGACATAGATGAACTTCTGGTCCTCTGCAGAGCCGCTTTTTAGTGATGTCAGGCAGGAGTATCCGCTTGGACCCGCCCAAATCTGCATAGCTTGTTTTATCCATGAATGGCCATTATTCAGCGACCAACGTAAGGTGAGGTTAATTCCTGAGGGGAAAAGGCAAGGAGTTATTATGATGTACTGAAGATTTCTTTTTACGAAGACGATTTGTCTGATGTAAAGTAAATGAGTGGATTTTTGTTGGCCTATAAGGAAAGCAGCAGCAGTGCAAAATAATTGAGTATATCATTTAACCCACTTTGGAACCTTTGAATCAAGGAATTGTATTTGTAACAGAGTATTTTTACTTTTACATCCAAGTATTAGGGATACATCTGAGGAAAAATAAGATACTCTTGCTGTTCTTACTGTGTTGATCACTGGAGGGGTTGGTGAAGAAGAGCACTCCGTCTTTCTGCAGAGCTCCAGCAGCTACTGCAGGATCCACTAACTCAGTGTCAAAGTACAGACCGTCTATGGGCAGAGTCAACCCACCGTCATAGCTGCGTACCACTATGCGACAGTTACAGTGGTAGCGGTTCTGGTTTCGAACGTTGATGACAATGGTGCCGTCCGTCAACTCAATCGGCTGCAGAGGAGCAGAGAGAATTAGTCTTTCTTTATGATATGAACATTTATTATATAGTGTTAGATTAATTATAAAACCTTGGAAATGATTGCCATGGAGGCATCACATGACGGCTTAGATAACTGCATGTTTTTACTAAACATTCGTTTGACAGCTGCAAATCTTTTCCCCACTAGAGGGCAGAAGAACTCAACAAAATGCTGAGAGATTATTAGCCCTACTAAAAGTTATTATGGCTAAAGCTGCCTTCACATGACCAGCATACAGTAGATTCATCATATAATCTTGTCATATATTTAATACTTATAAATGCCTGCAAACAGCTGCTAGAAACTGGGTTTATAAGAGCACTGAGACTTATAAAGTACATTTGAAGGTCAAAGCTAAAACAGGGTTGCAAAAATGTGTGGCAATTCTCTGTCAGTTTCACATTACATATAAGATATTTGATTAGTTGTTAATATAAAAACACACTTATGAATGGCGATATAATATAATAAAGATTTTTAATGTCAATATGTATATATAGTTGTGTGGAGGTATTTGGAAAATGGTGATATTTTAAATTGAACCATTGTTATCATTTTAATTATACATATATGATAATTTTGTCTCAAAATCTCTTAACCCACAAGTGATTTAGTTTCAGTTGACATGGCTACAGCAATTTACCTGACACTCATCAGGGTTGAAGTCCAGTGCTTTCTTTTTCTGGTTGTAAGGGATGCTTTTCAGCTGGGCGCCATTGTACCAGTTACTTCCGTGGTCATCACTCAGGATGCAAAACACTCCGTCTCCCGCCAATGTCCCATGACCACACACCACCAACCTTCCTTTAGCTGGGTCATGGCGCTTCTGCAGTGCAAAGACACAAAAAATGCAGACTCAGCACACAATAAACAACAGTGTGAAGTTGAATCTTTAAAAAAAAAAAAAGAAAAGGCGTTGATATTAAAATAAGACAAGATTACCATTCCCAAAGGGGAGATTTACGACATAAATAATTATGTGCCTGCTACAAGGGCATGAATATTAAATTAAATAAACCATTCGAATTATTTACAGTGTCTGACCTGTTGCAGTCGGTCTAATCTGAAGGGTTAGTGCCCTAAAAACTGGCAAAATTCTGCAGAAACATAACGGCTCATAATAACTGTATACAGTAGAAGGGATAAACCACTAATTTACACAATTATAAAAACCTTCCATTTAAATAATAAATTGTGTCTCTGCAAACATTTGACATATACTGCTACTTTAACCTTTATATGCTGACCAGTTTTACAAAACAAGATGTGAATCTAGAACAAATATAATTTTCACTTCCTAATTTGATTGAAGTATCTAGTTTATTCAGTTTACAAAAAGCACTTCTCATTTGCCTGAAGTTAAATTAACTTACTAAATGCATTTGAGTCAATCACTAAGTTGGTCGCAAAAAATCGCAATAAAGCAAATGTGACATTTAGCTTGAATTTTAACTAACTTTACAACTACAAAACAGCTCAGCCACAGCTTCTCACATGAAATGGTTTTGTTGTCTTACCTGAATGCCAAAGCCCGGTCCGGGAGCAAAGGCTTTCACTCCCAACTGAACCGACAGGTTTTTGGGCAGACTCCAGCTGAGGCCGTCATCCAGGCTCTGCACCATCATGGTGCTGGAAGGTTTGCAATGGTATCTATGGAAGCAGATTGAGTAGACCAGAATCACGGAGCCCACTTCCTCGTCCACAACCACCGAGCCCAGATTCAGCCCATCTGGCTTCAAACCATCATCGACTATAAAGGCGGTCGGGGACCATGTGGCTCCTGGAGGGCCAAAGGAGGGAAAGGAGAAGATTCCAGCATATATTCTGACTTCATTTACACCAAATGTATTACATTCAAGTTTTGTTTTACTTATACAGATGTGTGTGTGTGTGTGTGTGTGTGTGTGTGTGTGTGTGTGTGTGTGTGTGTGTGTGTGTGTGTGTGTGTGTGTGTGTGTGTGTGTGTGTGTGTGTGTGTGTGTGTGTGTGTGTGTGTGTGTGTGTGTGTGTGTGTGTGTGTGTGTGTGTGTGTGTGTGTGTGTGTGTGTGTGTGTGTGTGTGTGTGTATTGAGTGTGTCTACAGGCTGTGTGCTTTTGATGTGTTTATTGTTTTGTATGACTGTTGTGGTCTTCCCTGCCTTTGTCTGTTGACCGCCGCATTGCAAGAAACTTTGCTCCTATGTCGCCGGCCGACGCCTTCCTGCCCTCACAAAAGGCCAGTAGGCTTCCTTTGGATGTGAAGGTGATCAGCGGGATCCTGAAGGTGTTCACCTCCCCCTGGGACCCGCTCACCCACAGCAGCTGCTCTTCATACATCAGAGGGTCAATCTGGACAGCAAAGAAAGAGTAAGCAGGAAATTAAGAGAGGCTGTCAAAGGGAATGGGTTGAATACAATCTGCTGCCAGTTACCAGTTATAAAAATACCTATCAGGTGTCAGGTGACACAAGCAGGTGATGATCACACTTTAACTTTAGGAAGCCAATTATGTATTTATCCCAAACAACAAGAGCTTCTGTTTTATATAATGTGGTGGAATGTAAAGCTTTTGGCCTCATACACTCAAGCACTGTACTTAAGTGCAATTTGGAGTTACCTTACTTAAGTGTCTTCATTCTGTCCTACTTTATATTTGTGTACTATATACAAGAGAGAAATAGAGTTAACTTAACTTAAGCTTAAAAAAAGTAGTTCCAACTTCTTTGTAAAACAAAAAGATAATATAAAAAGTGATATGCCAGCTAGAAATGTACTCAATTGAGTTTATTTATATTGTGAAAAGGATCCAGCTGTTCAGGTCATAAATTGGGGGGGGGAACCCAAATACAAAATATGTATTTAATATTTTAAGAAAAGGGGGGTCAATTTTAGTAAAGCAATAATACAATAAAGAATATGTATTTCCTTTCATGACACACATTTGATTCACTTCGGAAGTCTACTACTCAGATAATGGCGAATAAATATATATCTACTTGAATTAACCTGCAAATAGGAATGTAGTTGTCATTCAACTAGGCCTACTTGTTTAATCACATGTAACTACTCCCCCAAAATGACTGTTTACATGTTCAATGGTAATGACTCATTGATATAATTATATTTACGCATAATGAAACAACATTTTGCAGATAATACTTTTTGATTTTTACAGTATGGTATCATTACTTCCTTAAGTCAAATAGTTCAATACTAATCCCACCACCACATGTGAAAAAATGCATGCATATGCTGCAAAAATGAAAGAAATATAAAGCCACAACACTTCAATTAAATCAAGCTGAATGAACACATTTGTCAGTTTCATCAACATGTGTTCCTACAGCAGGGGACTCGATGTTTTCAGTCTACTGTACCTGATCAGGGCTGAAGGAACACACACAGGGACTCAACACAACGGAGAGAAGTGTCCACAGAGCAGCGAGCCGGCAGCTTCCTGTCTCCATGTTAGACTCTAAAAGACTCTTCTGTATTCCGACAGAGAAATAACATTAAAGTGCAGATGGTCCGTTTAAAGTGCATCCACAAAAACAAGAAACCGGCTGAGATAACAGGCGGAAATGCTCTGCGAAACTGGTTCATCCACAAAATACTTCCAGCTCAGGTCATGTGACCAAGGTGGAGCTCACATGACTAGCGGCAGCAAGCAGCAAGCTCCAAAATAAAACAGGAAGTGATTTGTTATTTTTCATTCGGTAAATTAGTGCAATGTAGGAAAACAGTCTACAAAAAAAACAATACATATGAACATACACAAGAGATGTATTTAATGAGATATTATATTGAAAAATTGGCATAAATGTATAGCTTAGTTACAACAGGATTATGAATGTGATGCTGCTGAATGCTTAAATCAGTTTTGTTAGATAAAATATAACATTTTAATTTCTTAAAGAATTTCATTATATAAAGGTAAAACTGGGCCAAATAAATTACATAGGCCTATTGTTTAAAGCTGGAGAAATTAGGATTGTTATTCCATTTGATCTTGCTATTTATTAATTGTATTTAGTTTTGTATTGTACTTTTCTGTAATGTTTTTGTATGTTGCATCGTATAAGAATGTATTGTGTTTTTAGACACGTTTGCTATGCATTTAAAATAAAAATGCATTTCTAACCAATAAAGCATTGGCAAAAGACTAGTTGTTCGATGTGATGATCCAATGGATTTACTGTATATTCTGTTTAGACTTTACTATCTTTTTAACTTGTTATTCAACTCGGTTTTGTTACTAGTTTGTTATCACTTTGAAATTCACATCTAATTAAGCACATATTTCATGTCTATGACATTTATTTCTGCTGAGGTAAAAGATCACCTGGGAAAATAGTTCATTATTTGTGTTTAGTATTTAATAGGCATGGATAAATGGTGTCAGCAGAAAAAGAGTAGACTATGTGTTATTCATTTCAGTTCATTTATGCATCTAATTTTCTATCTAGTCAATTTCCAAAAGTACCACACAAAAAGATGTTGGTTTATACACTTACAGCTTGTATCCACATGGAGGCAGAATTTTCCTAAAACAGAATACATGCCACCAACAGTGTTACAGTGTGAAGTCTTGTACTCTATACACAGCTGTATGCAGTTTTCAGTAGTTTAACCTTGCAGTAAGTTAGTGTTGCTGTAGGATAACACTATTGTTATCATTTACATTTCATAAATTCAAAGGTTTCCTTAATTGTACAATGATTTTGATTGAAATCATAAAGAGCAAACAAAGGAAGTCTCACATGTGAACAAAGGAGATTAATGTTTTGTAATTGTAGACTTCAATCCTTCACAATGCGGAAGGGAAACATGCATGACATAATTTGTTTATTTTGCATGACCCCAAATGATCCATAACAATATGTTAATGTGTGGCAGTTTCAGTAAAGCTGCACCGGACACCATGAAACTCTCAATAATTGCAAACAAAAGGCAGACGAATCACAAGCTCCACCTCATGATAAATTGTTAATATGTCATCTTAATACGCCTTTACATATAACAGTTCGCTCTCTTTAGTTTTGACGTTGTTGAGCTGAGAACCGCAAGCCACATTCCTGTAGTCATGAGGCCGAGCTGATCTCAGTCACACGCTGAGAGAGGGAGAAACAGAAAGAGAGAAGTCAGAAAGAAACTCTGCTAGGGCTCATTTCAGTGTGAAAGTACGACACGGTCTGTAAGCAAGACATGGTTACTTTCAAGGGATCTACTACAGAAATGGGCTGAAAAAGGAATACAATTATCACAATGTTGACATGATGGATCTTAAATGCAGGTATGTGTTTCATCATGGGACTTTCTGGTTTCACTTTTGGGTTTGGTTTCAAGACCTCACAGTCTTAAAGGTGAGCTTCTCCAATGAAACATGTCGGGCAGCCACAGAAAAAAATCAAGCTTGTTAAAGGAACCTTTCACCCTAAAATGTGACGTCCTTCACCTATTTTCTATACCTTTAAATTATATGAGAGCATTTGATTGCATGAACATTAAAAACAATGTGGAGTATGGCATCCCAGCAAATATCAGTGTAACAAAAAAATATATTTTCTTTTCTTGTTTGCAAGAATTGCACTATATAGACACATATACACACTTATTTAGTTCAGCAGTATGCATAACAACACATAACCAAACCAAGATGCAATTTTAAGATAAGGGATTGTCAGTTGCGTTTGTACTGATAAGCTCAAGAAATACAGTAAATGCTATTTCCTCTATCGAGAAGTAACACTTATGCCTGTATTTGAACACAGCCCTCTTCTTGCACATGTATGAGAAATATTGTGCTTTCTTTATCTCCTTCTGAACAGGTGTAGTATAAGCAGGCAATGATAAATAGGGCCACAGTCCATATTACTTTATTTACATGTATGGAAGTGGACATTTTAGAATAATAGCAGAGAAAGCGGTTATACTGCAGGGGCGAAAGTCATAAAGTAGAGCATTGAGAGTTCACACCTCAGTGCTAAAATGTGGTGTTGTCACAAGCAGGCAGGGGAGAAGGAGAGCTGGCTATAAATAGAACAACTAACTGTCATGGCTGGTGCCCTACGAGGAAGAAAACGGGTTGTATCCGCATATTTCTCTTGCGTATAGCCCTTTTTGCCACACGAGGCCGTAACTAAACGATAGAAACGGACCCCGCAAACGATAACGGGTCCAAAGGTGGATAGATCTGGGAACGGAGCACTCTGGGGGGTCATACGGCTCCGTGTGATCGCCTCTATACGATCATTTTGTGATAATGATGACGCAATAGCCCTGCCTCCCCCCACCTCTGCTGCTCACCCCCGCAAAAGTAAACTGCACACTGAATTCAGATTATTTATCTTTATCTCAATATGGACATAAACATGAGTGAAGTCTAATCTGACAGGATGGAGACACGCAGCTCCTCCCGCTGCAAAACACACACTTCAAGTCAGATCATCACCCTTAGCTATTTTAATTAGCCTACCTCTCAAACTACCTAAACTAGTTATAAATATGTTTGTTTTGTACTGTCGGCCGGGTCACTCATTACTGGATCAGCTGCTGCATGAGACAGACACTGATGCTGTCAGAAGAGAGGAAAAAGAGAGGACAGGCTCCGTGTATTTTATTATTATATATAGTCGTTATTCATTTGTTTTAAAGCTTAATAAATAACAAAGAAGACCTTTGACCGGCACTTTTATAATTTTGTCCAGAAGATTTAAACTTTTACACACGTTGACCGGCGAAAAACTGCCTAGTTCCCTCTAGTGATGTGTCGGTCGCGAACGAGCCGGCTCAAAGAGCCGGCTCTTTTAAGTGAACGACGGGAGCCGGCTCGCGCCCGCGAACGAGCGTTTTTTTTGTTTTTGTTATTTTTTGTTAAGTAATACAAGACAGAATGATATGATGATCTCCGCGCTACAGCTGCTCCGTGCATGCATGCAGTGGCATGTAATATCCAAGGATTAGAGACTGTTGGATGCTGCTGTTTTGAGCATTGCAATACATTTATTTGCATTATGTTTTTTTATGATTAGAGACGGTTGGATGCTGCTGTACTGAGCATTGCAATATATTTATTTTCACTATGTTATTTATTTATGATTATCCTTGGGCTCAGCAAAGATTTGATGTCAGCTGTTGCTGTCTTTTTTTCTATAGTTAATACTGAAATAGAGCCCTGCTGTTTTGTCAGGGCCTTTTCTTTAAATATCATTTTAAAATGTCGATACAGTAGCCCCTTTTTTTAAATGTCTATGCTTAAGTTTTTATAGGTGTTGCTATCTGCTTTGTGTAGCGTGGTTCTACAAGCAAGTCTGTGCATTCATTGGGTGGTATCAGAGAGATACAAGGGTCTGTAAATGCAATGAAAACAATTGGCCACATGCAGCAAATAATTGATATTAAACATGTAATTTTTACTTTTGAATACTTCAGTACAAAGGATGTATTGAATAATTTAAGTGATATGTGTACACATATAAATCATTAGTCAAAACAGGGCTACATTTGATTGAATTATAAAAGGTATAATATGTGGTAAACTGAAGAGCCGTTTGGGAGCCGAAAGAGCCGGCTCTTCTTGGTGAGCCGAGCCAAATGATCCGGCTCACCAAGAAGAGCCGGAATTCCCATCACTAGTTCCCTCGGCCCCCACCACGGTGAATAAACAGAAGGGCAACCTTGCTTCTTCGCTGCTTTTGTGGAGGAAAACAGCGCCACGTACAGGCTCGGCATATGTACTGCAGCTTTTTCCAGCGGTTGGAGCTAAACGGAGCTGTCTCGTGTGAACAGACACTATCCGGTGTATATTGCGTGTGGACAGAAGTTTTTTTGCGATTGCGATTGCGTTAATCCTATGCGTTTTGCCGTATGCGTTCCCGTGGGGCACCAGCCGAAATGTGCTGTGGAGAGTCATGACCAAACACAGCTCTTATCCTCCATTAACAGGCTGAGCTGCACTGCTATGATAATACATGACATTCTGGACATTTTCTTTAAATGCAGGACAGATATTGACAACTATAAAGGCTTATAAAGTATAAAATGCATATTTACTTAAATCTACTTCTTTAAACTGAATAATTAAATAAATAAACAACAGCCTCCTAATCTACTGCCCCTGTCAGCAGATAACACCATCACCATGTCACTGCAGTAAAGAACACTTGTCCGGAAAGCAGAAGTGATCTGGTTTCCTGCCTTTCTTTAAATAAACTGCAAATGTTTTCAGAGTCGAGAGGCTATGGTTCATCAGATCGGGTTTGCTAGAAAGAGACATTGGTGCATGACTGTTCTGTTTCTTCAAGAGTGACAGTTAACCCATTGGCCTGGTCCCTAATCCACCATTCATGTTTTATTTTTTAAATAAATGGATTACAAACTGAATTCTTTTTAACACTTTAATTTATAAAGTCACAACATATGCTTCATACAATAGAATAATCAGTGTTCAGGACTTACTTACTTGAACAGTTAGGCCTACTTCTTGTAGTGGCAGACACTGGACTTTTTAACCATGTAACCATTTCTTTTAACTAATGCTAACCATTTCAAATGCTAATCTATTACTTTCACCAAACTTCTTTAATAGTTTATCCATTACATTTAGCTCAACGGTTAAACCAATAAATGTAATCCATTG